GTATCACTATGGAAGTAGATTGCCCAACCTTCCTTCTGAGGAGTGAGTGGTGGGTTTGAACTGCTAGCCTTCTGGTTGGCAGTCAAATGCTTTAGGCACTATGCTACCAGAGCTCCTAGGCACATACTAGGATACTCAACAGATAAATACTAATTTGCTGAATAACAGTCTAATAAGTACCTAATAAGTATACTCCTGTTCTCCAGTTATACACATATATTTCCATTGGTCTCAAGCATAAAGTAAATATTTCTATTTTTTTAATATACTCATGTGTCTAGAAACAGACCCATGCATATATGAACACCTGATTTATGATAAAGGTGGCTCTGCAGAGGAGCCATTTCCAAAAATGACTCTAGGTCAACTGAATATCCATACAAGGAAAAAATACAACCTTATCCCTACCCCTTATTCTAGGAAGACTGTAGATCTAAACATGAAAGGTAAAAACAGCGCAATTTCCAGAAGACAATATGGGAAGATTATCTTCACAGCCTTGGTGTAAAGAATGATTTCTTAAATAGGAAACAGAAAGTACTAACCTCAAACAAAAATTATTCATCAAAAACACCATCAAGAGAGTGAAAAGGCCAACCATGGACTGTAGAAGATATCTGCAATGCATATATCTGGTAAAGAAATTATATCCAAAATATGTATAGAACCTTCACAAATCACTAAGAGAAAAGACAAACAGCCCAACAGAAAATCAGACAAGAGACAAGCAGGCACTTTCCAAAAAAGAATGTCCAAATGACCAATAAATGCATAAAATGTGCTCACCCTCATTAGGAATCTGTGGAATGCAGATGAAAACTACCAAGAGTTGCATTATACTCATCCACTGAAATATCTAAAATTTAACAGACTAGCAATAGCAAGTGTTAGAATGTGGAACAACAGGGACAAAAAGTACTGGTGGGAATTTAAATTGTTATAACCACTTTGATAGTACCTACTAAAGCTGAACATCTGAATACCATATCATCTAATAACTGTACCAAAAGGGGTGAACAAGCATAGTCATAACAAAACTATTCTTAATAGCCCCAAACAAGCCAATTATCTATCAAGAGTAAAATGATGTCATATTCATAGAATGGAATATGGAAGCAATGAAAATGTACAAACTACCTCTACAGAGAATCACATGAACAAATCTCACAACCATAAGGCTTAATTGAAAAAGCCAGTCACAAAAAGAATAAACATTAGATATTTCATTTACAGTAAGTTCAAAAGCAAGGAGCTCTGGTAGCACAGTGCCTAAGGTATCTGACTGCTAACCAGAAGGCTGGCAGTTCAAACCCACCAGCCACAGAAGGAAGATAGGGTAATCTACTTTCGTAGATTTTTCTGCCTCAGAAACCCAATGGGGTTGCTAACAGTCAGAAATGACTCGAATGCAATGAGTTCAGTATAGTGATAGACCCCAAGAGAGTAGTTATGTTGCGAGAGTGGGAAAGGGGTAGTGAACAGGAAGGGTCATGGGTAGGGTTACCAGATGAAATACAAAAACCACAGTTAAATTTGAATTTCAGATAAACAACAAATAGTTTGTTAGTTTAAGTATGTCCTATGCAATACCCAAGACATGTATTTTTATTTGCTAAATCTGGCAACCCTAGTCATAGAGTACTGGGAATGGTCCATTTCCTGACATTCATTTTGTAATCATCCATTGTGCATTTTTCTGTACAGTGCGCTTCACAATAAAAGGTTAAAAAAAGGCGGGGGGGGGGAAGCAAAAGTATACTCAGCAACAGCCTTGCAGATTTTAAAATACCTTATCCAAGCACTGTTTTTCCTTCCCACCCTTAATCATGGCATGGGAGAGTTGTGTTACTTCTGTGAGAGGTAGACATCAATAATCTCAGCTGTTGCCATACCAAAAGCTGTGGGCTCGACTTTCAATTTTTATTAAAATTACTTTTACACAGCATGTTTATTTCTGGAATCTTCTTCATGCCTTGCCTCTCTGGGCCCATCTTTATTTGGATGGATGGCTTAATCTTACCAAAGGGCAAGGAGCTCTGGTGGCATAATGACTAAGGCATCTGACTGCTAACCAGAAGGTTGGTGATTCAAACCCACCAGCCACGGAAGGAAGATGGGGCAAACTACTTCCTCAGATTTACTGTCTCGGAAACCCAATGGGGTTGATATGAGTCAGACCTGACTCGATGGCAGTGAGTTAACACTAAGCTAGAAGGCCTGCCTCTACCAATCAGTCAAGAAATGTACAAACCAAAGTTTTGGACTGAACAGACACGTGAGAATCAAAATCCTGTGAACTGAGGGAGGCTAAGAAGTGACCAGTACTTTAGAGCCAGCAACCTGGACACAAACATGTTCAGAATTCATAAATTCAAATGCTTAAACATAGAAAGTTTACAACTTGTTGTCATTAGTTGCAGTGGAATGGATTCCAACTCATGGCAACTCCATATGTGCAGAGAACTATTCTATAGTGTTTTCAAGGCTGTGACTTTCCAGGCATCTCTGGTTGAGTTCCAACTGCCAACCTTCCAGCCATTTGCACCACCCAATAGCTCCATCTAATTCCCTCTCATTGGTTTATTATTTATTTTCTCCTGCGTGCACAACTGACAAACCCAAGAGTAGTGCCCAGTGCAAACCAAAGCCTGAAATCACTTTTCTGCTCTTGTTTAAGTAAAGTGCTATTTATTGGCAAAAGTTCTTCAATGCTCAGAGTACATGGTGGTGTTGTTTTGTACCTTCATCTTGTTTTTAAAATAATACCTCCTGATTTAAAAAAAAATTCATCCATGTTTGGGTGCCAATTGGATCCCACCTCCCCTGAGAGTGCCAGGTTTCTTTGCTTTACTAACAAAAAACTGTATTCATCCCTTTCACACACAGTGTACTGCAGATAAATGATTAGACTTCTAGGCTGGGGAAAAATCCAGCTCCACCACTAAGATTGTGGACCTCTGGGTCAGTGAGTGACGCTGTGCCTCAGTTTCCTCAAACATAAAATGGGGTAAAAACAGTATGTAATTCAAAGGGCTGGGGGGAGCTTCAAATGCCCTATAAGGTGATTAAAATACCCCATAAGGTGATTAAAATACAGTTCCTGGCACAACTTAAATGCTCAACATTTATTAAGTATTATTGTCATTATTATTATCAATTTACTTTCAAGGGTCCTGCCACCTATAAGAACACTACTTGTGTATCTATGTAGGAAAAACACCCAGATGCAGTTGAAGGTGGGGGGGGGGGAGACCAGAGGGGAGAGGAGGCTGAGAAATAAGGATTTCATCACCCTATAAAGTTTGGGCCAACTTGCGTCCAACCTCCAGGAGAACCAGTGACCGGGAGTCTCCACCGGGGTCAGTGGCCACACCCGATCCTGCCCAGACCTCAGAATCTGGCCCGGGCCTTTGACCTCAAGCATCCTCATTACTCACATTGCGGTTGAAGTTGTTGCCCGGCAGCAGGGGCAAGGCCATGGCTCTGAGCGTCCGAAGACCGAGGGTCCCAAAGCAGACCCGCCAACTGGCAGCCGCAGCCTCGTGGCCACGTTGTTTGACCTCGCGTTACCTGGAGACCCGAGGCTGTGTAACGGAAGCGGGGAGGCTGGCCGGGGCTTGGGGCGGGGCTCGGGCTGCGGGGAGGGGCGTGGTTTACACGGGGCTCGAATCTGTGTCCGGCGCGAGCTAGATTCCGGGAATGGGCGCCCGCATTCTTCTCCCGCCCATCCGCAGACAATCAACTAGGTGCAGGTCTCTGGAGTCCTCTCTCTGCATGCATTGTGCACACACAAAGACAGATGACCACACCATTCTGCGCCCCTGCCGCTTTATGGTTTAACCCCTTTATACATCTCACTGACTTTCATGCTCTTCCAATGCTTGCCACAATATTTCTGGCCATTTGGTTATTAAATTTAGTTATTCAATAGTTCAAACGTACAGAAAATAATATGATACCCATGTGCTCACTGATGTTTTCCCATGCTGCATCTGCATCAGCTTTTTTAAAAAAAACTAAAATGTTAAACATGAATCTAAAGCCAGGCATATACCATCTATCCCACACACACAAACTCATTCCAATGGTAACCACCATCCCCAGTCCTTCCCCTGTATATTTTTATACTTGAACTAAACATGTGTATGGTGCTCATAATTTCGGGGTGGCTAGGAGAGAGGTCGGGAGCTCTGGTAGCATAGTGCCTAAGGCACTTGACTGCTAACCAGGAGGCTGGCGGTTCTAACCCAC